GCCATCATTTGCCATAGCAAAAGGCAATACTGTGTTGCCAAAAGCCTAAATTCTCTGTGGCATAGTTAATCAGAGAAATTTATTTCAGCAAGTGAATTGTTGGCAGAATGTGTTGGGCCTTAGAGTGTAAGTTCTCTTGAGGGAAGAATGTTTAACTTTGGTTTGAAGAGGAGGTCCTCTGCAGTTTTAGCTATCTGGTGAACTTGTCTGTCTTTCCTCATGAGTGATAGTGACAGGCTCCGTGGCAGCTCCCTGGGCTTTCTTGCCAGTTGCATGCACTGACGGTTTGATATGTTGGCAGACAGAGCTGATTCTTGGATGCGTGTCTGAACCTCTACAGGTCTGCTTTTGGCAGAATCGAGTGTGACTCTTATCCCTTACCCATTAAGCTATCATTATGGCTTTCTTATCTTTATTTCTTCTGCAAACATGCCTTTGAAAGTGTTTGGCTCTTTTTAGGCAGTTTGATAATATACAAAAGCAGAAGGCATGTGCTTATTTCTAAATTATATTGTATTTCTTCAAAGGAAAAGGGGGGCATCTTAAATGAAGGATTTTCAAAGTAAGTTGACAGCTTTGATGGACTTATTGTGATTATTGATAAGTAGTTCTTTCCTAAGAGTTAAATTTAGAAGCCCATGTGAAAACACACTTAATTGCTTCTGTTTAGCACAGAAAAAATTGTGTGTTCCTCTCTAAGCCTGATGTGTTGCATATCATCAACTTTTTTTTTTTTTTTTTTGAGATGGAGTCTTGTTCTGTCACCCATACTGGAGTGCAGTGGCACAATCTCGGCTCACTGCAGCCTCCACCTCCTGGGTTTAAGCAATTCTCCTTCCTTAGCCTCCTGAGTAGCTGGGATTATAGACATGCATCACCACGCCCAGCTACTTTTTGTATTTTTAGTGGAGACAGAGTTTCACCATGTTGGCCAGGTTGGTCTCGAACTCCTCACCTCAGATGATCCACCCACCCCAGCCTCCCAAAGTTCTGGGATTACAGGCGTGAGCCACTGCACACGGCCACATGTCATAAATTTTTCTTATCACTGTGTATTGTTTTAGTATGTCCAGATTAATATAGCTTATTGGAGGAAAACAAATTTTTGTATTTGGACTTCGGTGTTTGGGTTGTTCATTAGCCAAGCTTGGAAGAGGCATATTTCAAGAAAGGTGGTCATGTGTAATTGCCATATATGGAGTCTTTTTAAAGCCCTGATCTGATTTACTGTAGTTGGAGCAAGCCTTAGCAGCTAAGATCATAACCAAGACCCTGCAGTAGATCATGCTTATTAATTATCTCTGTAACAAGGCTGCTTCTGTGCTCCTTCCTTTGAGATGTTAAAGCTGAGTGAATTTATTGACTTACCGTCATGTAAAACATTCCAAAATTACTTGTTATTCGTTGGAGTTTGATTCTGTTTGGAGCACTCACAGTGCTTTGACATTCTGTGAACAAAAGAGGCACTGTGAAAATGGATTCCAAACATGGGAAACTCTTCCCAGCTGGTTGAAGGCTCAGAGACTAGCAAGCCTGGACTTCCTTCAGGTAGTGTGGCCACCTGTGGGACACATGGCCATACACAGGCTCCATAGATTAGAGCAGTTTTGGTGTAATTAGAGGTTTTTCCCTGCCTGAGAAGCCCTTTGTAAACAGGGTAGGATTTTTTCTTGTTCATGATCTTCAATGATTAAAATGAAGTCGTTCACTCGCTCTGTGTATCAATCATGTTTTAATTAACTTTGCAATAACAGTAGACTCAAAATTATATTTCTATTGAGAAGGGAACTTTTATATATATAATTATATACATAATTACATTATATACTT